TATCAACACAGACTGGCTTCATTCACTTCCGCCACTGCCGTATGCTAAACTAACTAGCAGACTGCGCAGAAAATCGACATTGTTCAAAACTCGGTCTGGTTTTCCTTCAGTCTTGGTCTCGACCCGGTTCAGCCACTAAAAGTCTTGGTGTGGATACACTCTGGTCCGTCTTGGTCTCAGGTTAGGTGGTCTTGACTAATAACAGTGTGGCACGAGGCAGAAACTTGAGTTTAATGAATCGATTTAAGGACATTCAAAATGTTGTGAAACATTTCTACTTTTTTAAAATCTTACAGACTTTAGTCAACATTCTGCACGTTTTCTAAAACTTTATAAAAACAACAAACCTCAGCAAACGAAGCCACTCTGACTTGGTGATTTTAAGATGCATGACCCAAAGCTGAGCTCTGCAGAGGTTTCACACAGTAATGAAGAGTGACAGCGAGGGGACTGGGACTGCTGGAAGCTGCAGTAGCAGCTCGCCCTGCTGTGGAAAGGGTTAACACCAGACAGTAAAGTGAACCCAGATGTGCCGTTATTATTAATATCTGTGGCTGATGAATGGGAAGGTAAAATTACAGGCGCCAGCCGGGGAGGCCCCTCGAGCGTCGCCCTGCCACCCAGGAGCCTCCCCGCTCGCCWGGCCCGCCTCTCAGGACCAAACCGTCAGCGGGGCGAGAGCGTCGGGGTGGATCCAGACAAACAATCTGCAGGCAGGAAGTGAAAGCAGGAACTTACACCGACCATCGAACGTCAGCCTCATCCTGCTGCTCTGCTTCGTCCAAACAGTTTAAACATCTTTCAGTCCTAAAGCTGATCTTTGCTCCACAAACAATGGATGAAGGTAAAGAGGAGCCTCAAAGCTGGAGCGATGGAGTGAAACATCTGATAGGAAGAAGCACATGATCATTTTATTGCCTCTATAAGCTCTTCACACTCCTCCAAGCCTCACCTCGGTCCTCCTCTTCCTCATGGAGGACCTTACTCATAAAACCTGACACCGACATGACTGACATGACAAGCTGTGTTCAAATATTAAAAAGAGACTATCMGATTTTTTCTAGAGACGCCTTTTTCACATTGACTGAAGTAAATCATCCAAAATACAAAGTTAAGTTTGTGTCGTTAAAGTGCCTGTGACATGCATATCCACGAAATACAAAAAGTCAAAGAAAATATATTTATATTTAAGGAACTTGGCATAAAACACGTGATTTGACCCTTTATGTACCATAACTGGCCTATTTTCTTTTGAATTTGGCTCAGCTAAAGTGAAACAGGAAGTGACATCAAAGGGAAACTCTTTGAGAAAGAAAACTTCCTGGTTTTTGTTTATTTAAATATTATTTGAACTCTGACTCTCTATAATAGTGATTAAAGTAATTTAAAGAAACATCAGAATCTTCTCTACAGTCTGGGTTAGCTATTTTAACAACGCTCTGTTTACATTCTGACATTCCCCTTTGACATCACTTCCTGTTTTTTCACATGTGTATATCTCAACAACTGTTCATCTCAGTGGCATGAAATCTTTTCACAATATGTAATCAGTGTTATCTTTCCAAAAATATATTCATATTTATTATAAAAATCTGATGTCACAACACTTTAAAGCCAGTTTATCATACAGCTCACAATGATCATCCATCCATCATCCATCCATCCATCCATCCATCATCCATCCATCTACTGTCCGTCCATCCTCCATCATTCATCTATCCATCCATCTATCCTCCATCATCCATCATCATCCATCCATCCTCCATCATCCATCCATCCTCCATCATCCATCCATCATCCTCATCCATCCATCCAGCCATCATCCATCCATCCATCATCCATCCAGCCATCATCCATCCATCCATCATCCTCTATCCACTATCCATCCATTCATCATCCATCCATCACCCATCCATCCATCTATCCATCTAGCCATCATCCATCCCTCATCCATCCATCATTCATCTATTCATCCATCATCCATCCATCCATCCTCCATCCATCCATCCAGCATCCATCATCCATCCATCCACCTATCCATCCAGCCATCATCCATCATCCACCCACGGTGTGGGACACCCTGGATATGTCTCCAGTCCATCACAGGGACATAGAGACAAATGAGACAACCATTCACTCTCTCACTCAGTTTAGAGTCATCAGTTAACCTGACAGTCATGTTTTTGGTGTGTGGGAGAAAGCAGGAGTACCTGGAGAAAACCCACATATGCACAGACAGAACATGCAAACTCTACCCGGAAAGGTCCTCGGCTGGGATTAGATCCAGCAACCTTCTTGCTCAGAGGCAACAGCTCTCCTTCCAGCAGCAAAACACCCAACAGCAAAGGTAATAAATATTTAAAATTAGTGACCTCGATCCAGAAAAAGAGAAATAAAAAAATTTAAAAAGAAAATTTCAGAACGAATGTAACAGAGCTACTCCAACGTGCTGCCACCTTGAACGGTGCAGCTCTAGAACCCCAGACTGTTTCAGATATTTAGAGATCTTTTCTTTCAGTTTTCTATCGTTTGTCTTTAGAAAAAGATAAATGAATGTTGTACATCATGGGATTGAGCAACCCGGAAGAAACTGCTGACCTAGGAGACAGGTGGAGAAAAGTGTTTGCCGCTCTTTTTATTTAGTTTCTGAAAATGGATTAACAGGGAATATCTAGTGAATACAGTAAGATTAATCTTTTTATTTTACAACAATACATTTAACTGCAATTTAATGGAACTCCCAAAAAAATCTGATCTCAATAAAACTCCTTATAACTGGACCCCWGCCGACGCCCCCCCAAATATTGAGGAGGAGTTTCCATGGTTGATTCATGACAAACATTTCCAGCCATCTTGGCAAAACAAACTGGACATGTTTGACCTCACATCCAAACATCAYTCTAACAGAAACACCTGATCCTGGGTCTGCAGAGAAGAGACAAATGGAGAYTCTGGGACACTTCACGTCAAACTTTAATAATGCAGTGTAAACTATCTACAAGGTAGTTCAAAGAAATAGGACTGGAACTTGGTTTTTGTCCCTCTAGTGGACCAAGACTCCTGTTTATGTGCACAGATATGGATCAGAAACCAGAGTTGTAAAGCAACTAAGTACAAATACTTTGTTACTGTACTTAAATAGAATTTTTGTGTATCTGTACTTTACTTGAGTAATTATTTTTCAGCCTACTTTTTGCTTGTTTTCATTGCAGCTTGTTGTTGTAAAAAATAAAAACTATCCATATAAACTGAGCCTCCTAGATAGAGTGAATTT